AGGCAGAGATGCTTTAACAGATGCAAAGATGAGGATGCTTGCAGGAGAAGCTTCTGATCCTGTGGTCTCTTTTATTAAGAGATTGCCTCATGCTGGCACTGGAGCTGTAGATCCTAGTGTGGATGTGGGAGAGCAGGAGGCATTTACTGATGAGGCTGTGCTAGTGCAGATGGACTTGAAATGAAATAATTAAATAGGATCTTGACTCAGGACCCAAAGTTGTTTCCAGAACACCTCAGAATCATTGAGAATATTTCCAGTTGGCTTTGAGTGAGATACATACAAACCAAGACAGGCTAGTGTCTCCTGAAGGAGACATCATAACCGAAGTGGATGAAATTGGTTTTAGGTAGAAATTTTCTTTGGGAACTTGGAGTCAGTGTTATGACAAAGATCGTAGTGCATCTATACCGCTCAGGACTTTCATATTGGCTGTCCCCTATTGGGTGATCAGCTCAAGTTTCATATGCTGTGGGGAACACTGGGAGAATTCATGGTGTCTTAGACCTTTAAAAATGGTGGCTCATGGGCAGAACTACACAGAAAAGCTTCAGGGGATCATTAGGAAGTAAAGGCTGATCACTGTCCTGCTGCTGCTTTGCATGTGCAACTCTACGTGAGAACCTGTGGGTCAATCAAGCAGTCTTGTTGGGGAAAGTCATGCATGCTTAACATCACATTTGAAGCTTTTGCCTGGTTCACTGCACACGCTTAGTGTGTTCTTATTTTTGGTTTTTGCTGGAATCACGTTGCACTGTAAATGCAGCAGCCGTGTCATTCCTGTCTTTGCAAAATTGAAGATGAAATGATTCCTGATTTTGATGCAAGTAAGCAGATTTATTTTCACATGTTCCATCATTTGCTTCCCTCAGTTCGTGATGAATGCTCGAATGGCTCTGAGCGCGTGTCTAAATGGTGTTATAAATTTGTGTTTATAGGTTTACAGATGCCCTCTCCCGAGTACATAGTTGATGTGGAGTCTATGGACATTTTCCCAGTTGGTTGGTGTGAAGCGAATGCTTATAACCTTACTCCACCACACAAAGCTGTTTGTAAGTGCATGGAATCCTCAAGCAGAACATATACTATATCCTGTTATATCAACAGATTTATCAGGGAGTTTTTCTGATGTCTGTAATCCAGTTCTTAAAACTACTGACCTAGCTAGCAGACCAGTAACCAGGCTGTGAGCATACTGCAAAAAACAGTAATAAATCTAATTAGTGACCAAATGCCACAGCACTGCTGTTACAGGGTTTCTACTTGCCTGTGTGATCAATCTCTCTAAAAATGGGATTGTTTGCACTGGGAAAGGCCATTAGTGGTTTGGGATTGCACAGGGTGGCTTGTGGGTTTGCAGTAGGGTTGTCAGAGTGAAACAGCTGAGTTCAGTGAGGCAGTGGAATGAATTAGGGACACGGGACCTTGGATCAGGAAAAAATTGAGAACAACACCCGTAAAATACAGAACCTGAAGGGACATAAAGAGGTCATGTCTCCCCTAGACAGGATTTACTTTGCCTAATGTGAGGAATGTTTGCTGGCCTCTTACAGCTGAGTTTCTGCACCTTTCTAGGATATCAGTTCTGTTGTTTCCCTTCCGTTATCAGTATAGGGCTTTTCCTAGCATCTAACTTAAATCCCTCTTGGCATAATTAAGTCTTGCCATACATCTAGAGCATACTAAGCTTGCTTTCTTTTTCATTCCCCCCATCTGAGGGTAGTTCATGAGCACTCAGTGGCTTGGTGTTGTTCTGTTCCTTGTAGTGACTGTTCAACCCTGATCTCAAGCCACCAGATGAAGAATTAGCCTCACTGTTTGTATTAATTAACATCTGAAAGGCAAATTCTAAAATGCGTCATTCTTTCGAAGAGTTAAATATGCTTAAGTTAAAAATCAAGCAGCCAGGGCCTAATTTGGGAGAACACTGCTATGGCAACATTATGCAGCCTTGTCGCAATTTATGGCTAAGGATAAATTATGCTGGAGGTAATCATGCTTGTAAAATGTAATCTTATCCATATGTGTTTCTGTATGGAAAAATATTTGTGTTTTTATTAATTTTTTTTTTATGTTGATCCCATAAAACACAATATTAGCATTCCAGAGGAAAGATTAAATGTATTATTACATCTTTAAAGCAGGTTTTAATGATGTAGTGACTTACTTAAAAATACCAAGAAAAGATGGCAATGGTAATTAAGTACCATTTCATTGTGTTAGGAGTCATTTTATAGTCAGTGCATTTTTATAGCTTTTTATGCATTATGGATGTATTTTATAGGACAAAAGAGTACAAAACTGTTCCTTCGTTTTTGCAGTGCGAAGGAAGAGAAGAATTGCTGTTGTGCAACCAGAAAAGAAGTAAGTTGCTATTATTTAAGGAGATATTTTTATAGTGATATATCAGGTCTTCCAGGGGAAGTAATACACAGCAGCTTAGGGACTTTGTCAGCCCCATTTGACACTGTTAAATACTCCAGATTTCTCTGTAACAGGTTACCATCCTCAGTGCCTGTTGAGAAAATACCTCATGACCTCTGCCCAGTTCCTCAGCCAGACACAACAGGTAAGGCTGCTTGGCACCAGCACGTCCTGATCTTAAGGATGAATTGCCTGTTGGAGGGGGACAGCCCTACAAAGGGAGAAAGCATGTCATATGTATGGGGAGATACAGACTCATCCTCAGGGGACATATGACTCGCAGAGTAGGGGCTCTGATGTAAGGGTTTCTGCTCTGCATGGAAATGCAGTACTTAGCTGGTCTTCCCCTGAAGGAAAAAATACCCCAGTCCCCATAGTGTTGAAGGGTAGCTGAACAGTCCTTCTCCTGAATTTTATCTCTGAGCTGATGCCATACCAAGTGAGAAGCAGCTAACATGTTCCCTTTCTGGCAAGCCATAACGGCGTTGCTCGTGTCCATCTGTGACATGAGTTATGAAATAGCTTCAGGTCATGTCATGAATGAAGTCCATGAAGTCCTTCCTCAGTTCTCCATTCAGTCGAGCGTGCAACCATATTGGGTGCTATTAAAAATGTAGTTTTTCCCATGTTGGACAAATTTGAGCAACAAAGGCTTCTCTGTCTTCTATCTTAGGGAAGACATTTTGTAGAAGGAAGGGAGCTCAAAGATCATGCTTCACTCTTTTCCCATTCTTCCCCTTCTAGGAGAAAGAAAGGCACTTGATTCATTGCACAAAAGTTGTGCAACACACACATCATTGCTACTTTCTTCTTGCAGGCACCATCAATGGGAGATACTGCTGCCCCCAGCTCTACATCAACCACCGCTGCTTCTCAGGTCCATATTTAAACAAAGGCAGAATAGCAGAGCTACCTCAGTCTGTCGGGCCTGGCAAGTGCGTGCTGGTCCTTAAAGAGGTATGAGCCAGCTATTTTGGGGGGAATTCTGAGGGGGAAACATGAATCATGGGTTGCTGGGCCTAGAATTTGATAAGAGATACCTAGAATTGTCTTAGAGCTCTGTGGCAGCTTCCATAGGTCAAGACAGCAAGCATGGAAGGGAAGATATGTATATGCATTGGGATTTGTAGGGGGAGAAGAGTTATTTTTGAAACATGGAGAGTTTTGTTGATTGCTGGTGCAAGTTTCATCTATCTGTGTCTGCTATGCGAGAGTATTCCAGCCAAAGCTATGCCACAAGAGGATCTCTGTGATTGCACCCATCAGACTGTTTCTCCTGGCACAAGCCAGTAGATTTGTAATGGGTACCATTATTTGAGTGACCGTGGGCCAATGGGGCCCAAACTGTTGGGTTCCAAAGTGACCAGGACAGAAAGCCAAGCACAGGTGTGTGTGCTAAGCAGAAGCTGAATGCCGTGGAGTTAATCCCACACACCAGGTGTGGCAGAGCACCAGCATCTATGTACTTCATCCCAAACAAATCAGTGCTTGCAATTGCAGAGCCAAATCTAGAGAGTTGAGTGCTTGCTGTTGACCTCAGACAAAAACTATCTTGTTTGAAAAAAAATACATAAAAATTTTTTGCACAGTTCTGTATACAGTCCATGTACAGCTGAGAGGCAAGGTGACTTCAGGTGGGAGAGGACAAGGTGGTTTTATTGGATAAGTAGGGTGCCGTTGATGCCACGGTCAGTGGAATGGCCCAAGTTGGAAGAGACTGGCAACGATTTTTGAGTCCAACTCCTGGTTCCACACAGGACTACAACAATTTCAACTTGAGTTGGGTCTTCTAGAAATCCAGCTTTTCCAGCTTTCTGGTCTGTACCTTTATGAACCCTACCAATTGCTGATGCAGGGCCATATCTGAGCTCCCTCTGCATAGGGTGAAACAGCAGGGGAACTTTTAGGGCTCCATTTGTCTGACGCATTTGCAAGCCCCTCAGAGCTCAGCTCATTGAGGTTGTTTGAAGTTGCCTAAAGTGAGATGGATTAAGTTCGAAATGTGAGATTCCTTTCAAATCATACATGCTTCCTAAATGTTCTTCTTTTGGAATGTAGAGTGACTCCTGTGTTCTTTAATAACCTGTACATACTGCTTTACATACAGTGGCACTGCCAGTTGTTTCACATGTTTAAAAGCTGGGCCATGAAGAGAACCCCATAATTCAGCTGCCTGTGCAGGTGGATACTTGGATTTGAAAGAAGCAAATCAAAAATAGCCATCAGCAGAAAGCAGGATAAAGTGGTGCAAAAGTTGGCAGCTGCCAAATTGGAAAGTCAATCTGCAGTGGTTTGCTGATGGGGAGCATTAGCAATCTGCTGCTGCTTGAAAAACAGGCAGTGAAAAAGCAACGTGGGGGAAACATGAGGCATGCACAGTCAGTAGTTAAGCTAACTACTCTTCTCCTTCCCGGAATTTGGGTTTTTAAAACATACGTAGTGCAAAGCTTCTGTGAGGTCCTTCCCTCATGTCTCGTTTGCCTATGTATTGTTGCATTGGCTGCCACCAGCTTCTCCAGATTCCTCAAGAATGGACCCTGTTATTCACCATGCAAACCAGCTGAAGTTTCCTACAGGAATCCAATTTTCCCTTGCTCCGACTCCTTGCAGGATTCTATGCTGAAAGAGCAAAGAGCAGTGTCAGAAAGACACAGACATCTTGTTTTTGGAGCCATGAGTGACTTCCAAAGGAGCAGAGCCATGGCAATGGCCCAGTGTTTTGTAGCAGTATTTTGAAGATAAATCCAGGCTCGTAGATCCATGGGGACCATTCCCAAATTCTGGAAGGGCTGAAGAGAACACAATTCAGGGTTTAGCTGTGGAGGAAACACATGTTTCCTATCAGCTGCTGCTAAGATGAAAGACTTTATGCAGCTCAGAGAACCACGGGCAGTGGTAAGGATGGGTCCCCATTCCTCTGGCCCATATTCAGTACCAAGTTTGGTGGCTCTGTCTCACATTATACCCACTGATGATGTAGCCCAGAGAATGCAAATTGCAAGCTGTTGTAAATTATGCATGAGCATAACTTGTCTGGAATAAATAAATTATACATGGGCTTTACTTTGGCAACACACAGGGGAAAGACAACCTGAAACAACAGTTACGAAGGAAGAACAGATTCAGCAGTTGTCTGATCACCCTGGTCTCTAGCTGTAGCTCTCTGCCTTTAGAGTTGTTCTAGTTAAAATTTAAACCTGTGCCAGTTGTGAGCAACTCCAGTGGGCAGCTGTCTCTATGATGGAGATGTTACCGTGTTTGGCACTGATGGGTTCATGCTGCTCCTTGGCCATCTTTTACCCCAAAGTCTTGTCCCTTCCCTGCGTCTGTCTCTGATGCAGTGACACATTCTGCATCCAGCTCCGAACAAACTGGTGGTACCAGCCTGCATAGTGCAGTGAGATATCTGATGGTCAGTATCGCTTGGCCCTGGACTAAAGAAGGCTGGGAGGTAATTTTGTAGTGTGGAGTAGTACATCCCCTTCCAGATGAGTAGTCTTGAGTAGTCTGGGCCATTCTCAAAGGGATTTTGAGAGTGCAGTAGCATGAATACACTTGTTTTTTTGCAGCACCTCTTCTCCAGCAAAAAAAGCATCCCCCAATTTCTGTCCAATTTGCTTTGCTCCAGTGTGTTGGGTGAAGAGGTTGTGAGCTCTGCAGTGAGGAAACTGAGGTACTTCCCAGAATTATCCCCCTCGAGCAAGATGTCTGTGTAAAATTGTGAGAGCAATTACAGTTTATTTGGTGGTGTGATCAAAAATACTGGCTGCAGTTCTGCAGTTTGCTTGTGTGTATGCATCCTTCCATCCATGTAGAGCCTTAGGTGAGAAGCAAAGAACTATTCTCATACCTGGTGCCAAACTTATTCTTAAAGCCGGGAGGATCATTATTCCTGGTGCCAGCACAAGTCTCTGGTTTACTGTGGCTTCTTTCACCTCAAGGGGCAAGTGAGGATGATAACAACTGTTGTTTAACATCAGCTTCAGAGTTTATCTCATTCCTGAGATGCTTGTTTGGAAAAGAATTTGAGATTTGGAGCCAAGAGACAGTGGAGATACCAGCTATCAACAGCTGGGCTGGAAATTAGTGGCTGTATAGTAGCTAAGATATCTAAGAAATACTAGCTTTAAGTTAGATTAAAAGAAACACATTGTCAGCTAAAGGTTTCATTCTTGGGTCAGAATATCAGAAATACTTAGCGGTTCTTTCATCTATGTCAGCAATTTAACCACAAAAACATTATAAAATGAGATGCCTTTTTAAGATTTAAGATTATCTATAACCCACCGAATCTTAAGGAAATATGCTGTAAAGATTAATTAGATTCTTTGTTTACTGCTGTTGCTATTTTAAGACACTTTGCTGTTTTTCTATCTAGATGAAAATAGACTTGCAGATATCATGACTGTTACTGTTTTCAACTGATGCAAGCAGGAAAAATGAGCCACTGTTTGTGAAGGAAAGCTATTGCATTCTGCAACTTGATTTTTTTTTTTTTTTTTTTTTTTTTTGCAGCACAGCATGACTTCTTAGGAGAAATTTGCATAATTAAATCAAAATGCTCAGAAAACCATGTAGCTTGTACTGAGCCTTAGCTGTATAATTGAGCCATGTTGGTGGTGTTATCATTAGCGATCAGATCTTGTGCTAGGATGGCAGAAATCTTTCATAGTTCGGAAAGATATAAGCTGCATTTCTGCAAGCATTGGGTTCATTAGCGTTGTCCTCAAGAGTGCTTCGTGGGCACAACTCACTGATAATGCATCTTCCAACTTGGATCTGGCTGTATTTTTGAAATTTCGTAGGCTGTCATAAGCACATCAGCACTCATTTGCTACTCCTCGTGTGTGGCGAAAGTGCAGTTCTAGGTGCTTGATCATTTAACTTAAAAATCCCAAATAGTTCTTCTTTCCTTCTTTGCCACACAGCTATGTCTTTATTTCAAGTAGAATAAAACAACTTTAGCTATTTTGTCTGAGGTTAGTCTGGGAGTTAGTGTCTCTCCTGTTAGTTAGGAGAAGTGGGATCACATCTCAGACAGAGGAAGGAAACTGACTTTCTCCTCATAAGGATGATGGCCAATGGGCTCTTGAACAGGAGAAGAGGCTTGGTGCTGTTTTGTGATATCATCTCATGGTGCTGTTTCCTGAAAAGCTTCATCCAGGATTGGGATCATTAATGAAGAGGGGTTGAGTGATGGGTAATGTGAAAATCACAACCAATCCATGATGCAAAGAATGGTACTGAGTACCCAGTAGCAGCAGGCACTTCTAGATATCCTTAGTAAAGGCACTTGTGCTCTTGGTGTGGGAAAGCTGAGAACTAAGATTCAGGTACTTATAAGGTTTGGCAGAGACTTGAGATGTTGCTGTGTGATCGTGCTCACCAGTGTGGCTTCAGTCTGACTCTGAAAATCCAAAGAAAATTCAGCAGTAACAAAATAAAACTTGTTAGGTGTACAGCAGCAAAGCTGGTGTCTCATCCACCCTTCTGCTCCAAGGCACTGCTGGCTCTATCCAAACCATTCCTGATGGAGAGGGCTGAAAATAAATGGAAAAATCTCAGACTCTTCACACTCCAGACAAAGGGAATTTGGTGAATCAGATTCAAATTTGACCCTTCTGACCTATGTGGAGGGACTTTCCATCTCCAGAGAGAACTGGAAATTGGTCTAGGTTTCTTTGCTGTTTTTGCTTTAATCCTAGTTCATTTCTCTGCAATAAATAAAGTGTTCTTGGATTTTTTTTTTTTTTTTTTCTGGCTTTGTCTGTGTGTTTTTTCTTCCCGGTGTTTAATAGTGTGTAATACTAAGAAATAATATTATTAGAAAGTAACATATTCAACATGGTAGTGGACTCCTGTCACACTGTGAAGTGCCAGACTCAGTGACTTATTTGAGAGTAAAAGCTAAAGCTTTTTTTTAATTTGAAAAAAAAAAAAAAACTTTTTTCTTGTCTTAAAGGGAAATGGCTGCTCTTATAAACACTCTTTTAAAAACTTCTTTTGAAGTTTACTGAGGGTTCTGACGATGACAAGCCAATTCCAGGAGAAGTACTGGCATTGTGAGGCTGCAGTCAGTGATGCTCAAGCAGTGCCAAACAGTTATTTGCAAGGTTAGGTCTTCCTGATTTGCAGATCAGGACAGGAAGACATCTGTTGAGTTATATATGAGCATGGGAGCCACCCAAGGACTTTGTGGCTTTTGAAAACCTACCTTTGGCTTGTGTGCATTGGATATATGTGTTGGATGTCAGTGCTGTATCAGTGTGGTGAGTAGCAGACAAGAAAAGATGTAGATGAGCAGCTGAATGGCGCCACTCGGAAGCTTTCATTTGTTCTCTTGGGAATTTTGGGTTGTGACAAGATAAAAACCAGCTCAAAAGCTGTGTGTAAATCTGTATGTGTATGTGTAAGGTAAGGATGTGCTTTTGCCCTTCTTTGTAGAATGCTTTGAGATATACAGGTGATCAGAACTGCATAAGCCATTGGATGCTGTCATTACAGGCATTGTTTTTAATATCTCCAATTGCACTTTTTTTCCAGCAGATTTCCAACTATCTCTCCCATAACTCTCAATGATAAATCAAATTTTGCTGCTAGTAAATAATCTATCCAGGCCACTCAAACCGCTTCCATTTTATCTGGTACTATGCAACATCAAGTGAAACCCTCATCAGAAAATGTTCCACCCAGCAAGATTTTCAAAAGCCATCAAATCATCATGGTTGCTGCATTGTTTAGTGAAAAATAAAAATAAACTAGTTGCTCCTTGCAATATAATGTAGTTCAGTTGTCATTTCTGATGCAGCATGTTCTTTGGTATGTTGGGGAAACTTAATGCTCATCATACTGAAATCATTTGAAGATGCCTGCAGCCCCTCAAGGAATTAAGAGCAGACATTAGGTAAAGAGCTAAATTATACCAAAACCAATCCAGACTCACTGTGGGATCGTTCACTGACATACAGTGCAGAGTGTTCAAACACATGGTCTGGTGCTATTAAGAGATTTGTTTTTCTTGTACTTATCTCCTTAGGCCAAGTGTAGGCCATTAAAGCTTAGATTCTCTGTAGGAACTATTTTTATTCTCAAAAACTTTGGATTAAATGGATTAGCACATGTGTTTTATTGTACAGAGTGGACACACACTGGTTTTTAGGCTCACCTCCTGCCAACTCTTTTTATGTATACTTTATTAATATTCTGTTAGTACTGTCAGGGCATGCAGCACTCAGATTCTTAAGTATATTGCCAACCTTAAATGCATGAATTTCCCCTTTAGTGTTCATTATATAACAACACATGTGACATTGTCCTTTGCTGAGCCATCAGAGATATTTTCATTTTTTTATTACGTTGAGCCCTGTGGGTGCAGGGAATGGAATCTTTTTTTGGGTGAGGTCTGTCTCAAGGCACAGCACCTAGGTTCATTTAATGGGACATGTCTGGGGTTAGCCAGCAGCATTTAAAGCAGTTGTGGCACAGTACTGAGGCATTGTCAACAATATACTTCTCATGTTGATTGAATCTGGGACCTCTTCTTGTTGCGTCTAGCTCTTGCCTTGTGCATCCTTGAGCCTACTAGGCTTCTGTGAGCTTCTCCTCCTTATACAGCACCAGAGATCATGTTTGTTGTTGTTGAGGACTGTTTTTAAGTCCATCCGTGTTGTTGATTTTATCTCACTAGGTTCTGAGCATGGTGATCAATGCAGCTTACAAGCCAGGGAGCGTTTTACGAGAACTGCAGCTGGTGGAAGATCCTCAGTGGAATTTCCAAGAAGAAACGCTCAAAGCAAAGTAAGTCTTCAGTGTGTGCCCTTTTGTTATGGGAGGCTTCAGAAATGGGGCTGGCTGGGAAAAGAAATAACTGTATTGTAAGAGTTTTTTAAATTATCATTTTGCTTCACTGAGTTGCTTGACTTGTTCCATAGCAACTTAACAAGTGAAATTTTCACCTGAATGGTTCAGTTCTATTGTCTTTCTCCAAGCAGCCATCAAATCTTGCAGAAATAGGACATATTTTTTCTGCAAAATCTTGACTCATACGATAAGGGGCTCCTATAAACTCAGCTATTACTAATTTCACTCAATCCCCAGCTTTTTAAATACAGTGCCATTACTACTTTTAATACAGAGCCTGTCACTCAAATGCAGAAAAACCTGGCAAGAATTGATGGCACCAAAACGTGCAAACAAAATAGCAGGGACTTATTTTTAAGCCGGTGAGTGTCTGGGACAAAATATTAGCAGATCTGAGTTTCACATTATGGTTTAATGTCTTTTTGGAATATATGCTTCAAGTCTTGTCTAAATAATATTTAAGAAAAATTTTTATCTAGAAAATACTCTGTTTTCCCTTTCTACTTCAAAATGTAACCATTTATGTATTCTTTATGTAGTGGGCACTGTATTTAGTATGCATCTCAATAATTAACTGTTCAACAGTAGGAAAAGCACGTTAGCTCTCTTCAGATACTTCCAAAAAGCAGTTCATCTCATTTTAAGACAAACTCAGCAAATAGTTCCTTCTAGGTAGCAATCTGTTTCTAACCAAGCTTCATCACTTTGACTTTTTGAGTACTGATGCTAAATGGAGTGAATTTCACACTCTGTACTGAACTTTTACTCCTTTTTAATAAAAGCAATTTTATTTTGTGTATTTACAATGATTGGCATCAAATATGGAATTATTGATTGCTATTGTATTTGTTCTTTGGCCATGCAGACACTGGAGAAATCTCATATCTGCTCTTGCTGAGGGAGAGAATTGAGAACCTTTTATCCTTCCTAGTCAGAAACTTTTTCTAAAGGAGAACTGCAATTAGAAATGAAAAGCTACTGTTTTCATTTGCTTCTCTCACTCATGTGGAAGGTCATGCTTTTGTGTTCATCGAACAAAGCTTTGTGGATTGGAATCCAAAAGTCGTATTTGTGCCTGCAGATTTCCATTAAAAAACAGTGACAAAGATTTCACTGATTGCAGGATCCTGTCAAACGACAGATAATGCACTGCAGCAGGTTCTAAGCAGCTGAGAAGTCAAGACTTAGTGCCCCAACTTTACGTTCTGTCCTGCTTATGGGTAGCTTTTCTAGAAGCAGTGTTCAGAATATAACAGTAATATAATTGTTGGGGTTTCTTATTTGAACGTGCGTGTCTGCCTTGTGCAAAAGCAATGTTACGTAGTTTGTAACTTTTGCAACCTTTGTTTCTATCAGGAGACAGCCTGACAAACGTTTAATTTTCCAACAAGCACAGAGGTGCTTTGTCCTTAGTAGTCAGCTATATCTACTGCCAATCCACTGAGATCCCAGGCAGTGTGTGGGCTCTGGGCATGCTTGTACCAGGAAGACCAACCTAATTAGAAATATGTGGTCCGCCAGAACTCATCACCCACCTGTTGCATATCAGCCATTTATCCTCCCTCATGTTACCTGGTGTGCTAAGTGTACTGTAGTGTAGTGTACCTCCATCTCTTCTGCTTTCCCCTGTGGTATTTCCGCTCGTCTTTTCGGGTAGCAGTCTCAGCTCTCAACAAGTCAAATAGCATTTTTCGACTTTATCAAGCCACAGAATGGGTCTTCACAGACTCAGAGCTAGGACATCAAGTTTTGGTCTCACTTCTAAGCACTGAAAGATATTCAGTATTGCCTTGTTCTCTGCCTCCTGGGCTCTAATGGAACTGGAGAAAACTGTATGGGTGCATCTATCTGGTTTCTGGAGTGGTGCTGGCTGATGAAACCAACTTGCCTGCAAGTAGCTGGGATACTTTTTATTGGTTGTCAGAGGATAGACTTACCCTACCTGAATACCCTTGGACTTCTCTTTTCCTTCCGGAGTTTACTTGAGTTGCTTCATCAAGAAGCCTGCTGGGGCTTTAATTGCATCTTGTGCAGAAGTGGGAAAGAAAACATGCTGATGAAATCAGATACCCTGGGATGTGCAAACTGCACATGACATGCTACATCAGGTATGACAGTCGGTTGTGCTCCAGAATCTTAAACAGAGCCCTATAACGAGCAAATGCCTGTCTACACAGACTTCCAGCTATGCTGGCTCCCAATGGTGTCTTGCTGCTAATGATGACAGCTCTACAGCCAGCTGCAGCATCTGTGCTGTAATGTGACATGTCATGTCACCTCCTTCCTTCTGATATAAACTGACAACTCCTTAGATCTTGATAATGTTGTTGTTTGTTTGCAGCAATGGCTGCAGTAAAGAAGAGAGATGGTGAGGGAGGAGGATGGTGAGAAGGCAGCATTTTTTCCCACTGACCCAAATGCTAAATTATTCAGTGCTGGGAAGGCATTATCTCAGTCCTAGTGCAAGGTGCATTTAGTTTACTCTGCTGTCACAAGTGACCAGTACAGAATCAATTATGCTAGCCTTGCAAAGAAGATAAACAATTTAGATTGTCCAAAGAGATGGGTCTGCAATGTGTGATGGCATTCACTTCCCATCAGCACTACTGGCTTTCTGTGAAAATAGTCGAACTTGATTTATTGATGATGATGAGTTAGAAATGTCAAGCCTAATCCACTGAATTCCCATGAGGACAGACAGACAAAGATATGGACATTCAGCCCTTATGGTTTTGATGCTTTAATTTCAGTGCCCTCATCTAGATTTGGCTTCCCAATTTTAAAAAGACATGAGGGCCTTTATGCTTTGTAAGAGCCTTTACTTATAAGAGCTGTAAGTGGAGTTGAAAGGAGTTACCCATTCTTTTAGGACTTAGTACACAAAAAATACCAGTCTATGTGAATTACCTGGGGTCTAATTTGAAGTCCAGTTGATCAAACTAAGAAAGATGGGTATTCCTGGACTACTTATTAAATGAAATTCTGAGACCTGCTCAAATCCACTAGCTGTAGTCTAGAAATATTGACCCCAAATCGCAGACACGGTGACTTATTTATGAAGCTGTATTTCCAATGAAGTCTTTACAACATGAACACTTTACAAAACTGCCTTTCACTTGTGTTGAGGTATTTGATGTTTTCTTTGCCTTGCTTTTGCCTTAACAGCTGTTAGGGGTTGTGCTTCAGCCTCTCAGGTCCCTATCACTCTTTGAAGGAGTGAAGGAGTGAAGCATTTATTAACCATGGAAGACAGAAATAACCTCGGGATGACATAAGCAAACTGAATGTAGTGAACTGCATTTAGCCAGATGGGATGCATCCAGTTCTGCTTGAGGGAACTTGCTTGATGTCATTGTAAGGCCACTCTGTCACGTTTGAAATTTCATATGATAAGGAAAGTTCCCTCATTTTTGGAAAAAAGGTAAAAGTCAAATCCTTCCTCAAGATGGGCAAGAAGGAGAATCCAAGTAACTACAGGCTGGTCAGCATAACCTCAGTCTTTGGAAAGGTTATTAAGCAACGTCCTCCTGGAAGCCATTTTCAGGAATATGCAGGACAAGAAAGTGACTGGGAAGAGCCAGTGTGGACTTAAAAAGGACAAGTTGCACCTCATGTGATGAGATGACTGCTTTGGTGGTTGTGGGAAAAGCAGTGGAACTTATTTGTGTTTAATTTAGCAAGAATTTGACAGTCTCCCATAGTGTCCTTATAGCCAAGCTATGGAGATGTGAATTGGATGTGTGCCTGGTGGGTGGAAAACTGGCTGGACAGCTGATCCCAAAGGGTTGTGATCAGTGATATGAAGTCCAAGTGGCAGCCAGTTATTAATGGTTGTCCTCAAACGTTAGTACAAAGCTACAACTCATATGATGTGATCTGTCTTCTGCATCAGCTCTGCCACATACTTCTTGAGACGTTGCAAGGGTGAATTAGTGTAATCATTTGGCCTTTTGTGCCAATTACTGGAGATGGAATACACTACCAGCAGTGGAGTGACTTAAACCTTGTCATAATGAGGAAACTTACCAAGACATGTATTTTCAATAAGAATAATTTCAGTACCCTCTTCAAATCACATTTTCAATATTACAGAATATCACTGGGTGATCAGATAGCTTTGGAAGAAGAAACTACCACATTTCTGTTTTTTTTTTACCCAGATTAGGAGAATTTGTAAAATCCCCATATTTAGAATACACTGAGTAGCTTTGGGGTGCCAGTTTTGATGAAAACTTTGGTGTTTTTTTCTCTGTGGCAGTTGCAGTGCTCCCTGAAGGCAGGGTCTCATTCCAACATCATGAAATGGATGTTAGACAGTTTCTGCTGCCGTCACGGTAAATTGCTTCAAGTAGATGAGATGGAGAGAGACTTTGGTTGTCTTCTGTGGGTAGCCAGTGTTCCTAGGGAATTTCTCATTTTTGGTGGACTTCGGCTTTTTAAAGCAAATTCTTGCAAAAGAAGAGATAGAAGTTTTTGATCCCTGAAAGAAATGGAAGCTTTTAGCCATTGAGTTATTCAAAATAGTCTCAAAAATTGTCAGAACTGTGGGCTGTTATCCTTGTGATGAAACCTTTGAAAATGAGGGTAGTCTCAACACTCTTGCTGTTTGATGTGTCTTCAGCTTGAGGCTTTTCACAATATCACACAATGGACCCCAGCTGGAGCTCTTAGAAGATAGTTTATTCTCATGAATATCAAATTCCAAAAGAAGAATAAGTATGACACAGCTAGCAAATTGCTATTAGCTCAGTATTGTTGCTCATGGATCAACAAAGATCCTGAGAACATTTTTTCCTGAAAATAACTTCAGCCAAAATACTTTCTCCAAGTTTTGGGATCTGAGGGTGAGGCAGTGGGACAGGAAAGGGAGATTCATTTACCTGTAGCTGAAAATCTTTTATAAAGACCAGTGACTTCCAAAAAACCTAAAAATATTATGCTTGACACAGCTGTTTTCCATGTCTGCAATGCTGCCATGCTGTGCATGCAGTTCACTTAGTGCTTAAAAGCCTTAATGAAAATGGGAGTCCTTGGATGAGAGCATCAATAGGAATAACAGCAGTAGGTGATTTTTTGAATGATACTAATGGAAAAGAGTTTTCTGATACCCAGAGGCACTCTTTCCACATAGCTGTCCTAAACCACTTTTGGTGGTGTTTGTGTTACAAATCTTTAGTATGAGGAAAATGGAAAATACTAGTAGAACCTGGTTTATGATTGAAAGAGGTGCTGCGAAGGCCAAAATCTTGTAAAAAATTTTTACTATTGTCAGCACTAACATGTTGGATTATTGAGGCTGATGGGTGCACTTACGTTAAGCTGCATTTTGCCGCCCGTTCTGTTAATTGTTGTGTGCATTGCATTCAGACCAGACTGTGAAATCAGACAGCTGTTCGTTTGCCTAGTTTCGTCTTTTTCTTTCACCAGGCTCTGTAGTACAATGAGTCTTTTCTGGATAGCCAAACACAATAGGAAGTACATGGTTAGAAGAAGTCAGTCATCCTTGAATAATGCCCATCAGGCAGCTCTCTTAGCTTGCAAGAAAGAAGATCAAGAAGCAATTTGATTACAGTGCTTTTGCAGGGAAACAAAGCCAGATGCAGTCTTCTCATCCTAGTGGTGAAAGTCAGAACAAGGACAAATTAAAAGTAAGTTAAATCCACATGCTTCCATACACAAAATGAAACACAGGCTTATGGGTACAGATGCTCCTGCTGCCAGGATTCTTCCAGCATGAAGAGGAAGCTGGTGCTTTGCTGGAAGTGATGCTCTAGTTCAACCAAAATTGTTAAGGGTTCAGGTGAATGTAACTGAAATTCCTAAGCCTATCACTGGATTCAGATTCAGTGGCCTAACAATCTAAGCTGGCCTTAAACTTAATGGCTCCTGGAGAAGTAATAAGGGCAGGAGTCTTTTCAATCATGTTGAAAATAAATAGAAAACATTTGTAGGTAGATATATTTAAATGTAGGTAGATATATTTAAATGCCAAAAGGTAGAGTGGAGACTACAACCTTCACTACATGCTAAAGACATTATTTAAATAATTAAATAAATTTAATGGCATTTAAATATATCTACCTGCAAGTAGATAACAAAGTCCAAAGAAGGACTTTGTTCTTATTATATTATGTATTGCCAAACCTCCTTTAGCTAACCAGCACTTTATAGGGAAGCTGGAATAACAATGCACTCTATCTAGAGGAAGAACTTTTTTCCATTTTATATCATCTATCTGCCAAGGTCTGTCAGGGTGCATGAAGGGTTGGCTAATAAAATAATTTATTGATGCGTTCATTCCAGCATTGTCTCTATAGCTAGGGGTCCTTGTTTGAACACCAAATAGGCTGTCAGAGCCTGCTGCCTTGCAGAGATGCTATTTTAGATTCTGGAAGAGAGAGTTGTATTGAGGTGATAGTTTGGATCAAGTCTTCTGCAACATGAGGATGGCTGAGTTGAGCTGTTTTCAGACCCAAGTTTTATTTGACATAGTTTAATTAGCATGGTGGTGGTGAGTTGATGGTTGGACTAGATGATTTCAGTGGTCTTTTCTCACCTTTATGATTCTGTGATTGAGTACCCTGTATAACTTTGTATACCATAGGGTTGAACCTTCTTCCCATATCCCCGTGCTTCCAGAAAGGGTTGCTGGGAGGTAGAACTGGAAGAGTTGGTTTCTCACTTGCTTTGCACATCTCAGTAGAAACTTCAGAGAGAGGGAATTGGGTCTGGGCATATGCTGTGTATTTTGATTCTCCAGCCACATCTTCTTTGCTTCTCCTTCTGTTTGCCTTTCATATTTGACTGTCAGGAGCTGCTCCCTTACTAGTGAACTGTAGATCTTAGTACTTTCACAAATCCTTTGTCTTGTTTTTCCTGATGACTTCCAAACCAGTAATCTGTGTCTTTCACTCTCTCCCTCTTTCAGTTTTGTGTGTGCTACTTTTTTCTCTTCTAAACACATCAGTAATGCCTAAGCACCAGACGTTTGCATGATTGTCTCTTGTGTTGCTCCTTAGGATGTGTAAGAGATGTTTTAAAAACCTTATCTCACAGTTTACAATAGCTCAGTGCTGCTGTTCAATAAATTATGGGGATAATTAGTTTTTCAGAGTTCACATCTACAGTGTTTTACAGCAGGGATGTAACTGTATCTTTCTTCGCCATTTATCGCTCAGAAACACTTTGTGTAAAACAGTGGAATAAATGGTTTAGTACCACATGGATAACAAATTTCAGTCAAATGTTTCATTGCAGATTTCTGCTCTAAGCATTCCCTGTAGGAATCACTGGTTTTAGGGCCTGTTCTCATAGCCCTATTAAACCACTCAGTAGACTCCTTATTAGTTCCTCAGGTTGTGTGCTACCCAGATCTCATAGCAGTGAAGTCATCTGGTCTCCATATGGCAAGCAATCCCATTTCACCTTGATACTTCTGCATTGTGTATGTGTTCAGTGACTGAAGTTGGCACAACAACAGTGTGAGCGTGTTGTGGTATGGAACATGAGGCGAGAACTGCTTTGAGAAAGGCAGCAATAGAGAAGACAGAAGGTAGAGTGGAGACTACAACCTTCACTACATCCTAAAGACCAAGTGGTAACCAGGAAGTTCTGCAAGGCGTATAAGCTTATAAGCTTCTCTCAGGTCCATATGTGAGAAAGATCACCTGTCTCTTCAGTGCTTTGTATCAGCTCAAAGGATGATATCCTGTATAATATCCACACCAACTCGATGTGAATTTTTTCTGTCTTTTGCCATATCTCCAGTTTGCACATGCATTCCTTTCTAAACCATGTCCTTGCCTCAGCTTCTAGGATCATTCTACCCTTCTTTTCTATTTTCAAGTGTTCCACGATCAGTCTACCCCACTTATTTTTCAAGTCAATCTGAAAGAGAGTCATGTAGGCAAACAGAACTATTCTGCCTGCCTGCCCACGAGACTCTCCCAAAAGGTGTTAGGGAATGTATCTCCCTAAAAGAGGGCAGAGTCTGCTGTGTAGCATCAAAAGACAGCACTTGATTGGTAACATTGGATCTCCTTGTACTCATTTCTAGATACAGAGGGAAGACATACAGGGCGACTGTTAAGATTGTGCGAACGTCGGATCAGGTAGCAGATTTCTGCAGAAGAGTCTGTGCAAAGTTGGAGTGCTGTCCCAATTTGTTCAGTCCTGTGCTGGTGGCTGAAGTCTGCCCAGAGAACTGCTCCATTCATACTAAAACCAAGTACAGTGAGTATTGACTGGGAGGCTTGTTGCTAGCCAGGATTCAGGGCAGTGGGATGCTATGTGTGAGCTAGTTACGAAGAAAAAGAGTTGTGTAATACATTAGTGTTGAGTGGGACTCACCTCTTGTAGTTAGAGTAGAGTAGGTACAGTACTTGTAGTTACTTGGTTCTGACCAAATCACTGCGAGCTTCCTTGTTATTCTCTACAAATAAATGGGCATCTCCAGAAAACAGTCCATTTCACTCCATCCAAATAAATCTCTTTGAAACTCACTGCTCTTTGGAAGCTTTGACTTTTCTTTGCATGTAAAGTTAATATAAGGAAAATAAAAAGAAGTCCAAAATACTGAAAGTTAGAAAACAAAAGCAAAACATATTCCTTTGTGTGTCAAAGAAACATACATAATTCAGGTTACCTGGCCCTTTCCACCATCCACTGAAACCATTAGCAATTGAAAGTGTGTGTTAACTCATGCAGAAGGGCATTGGATCAAATCTGAAGCATGCTGTCCTCTCATTTCACGTTGGTCTAAGTGCAGAGTGTGGGGTTAAATTCTGAACTCATCACTCGTCACCAATAAAAATGTAAACATAAGAGTTGTATCGCTTTGTGCTAGTCCACAATGGTATCTTTTATTTATACTGGACATTTTTTTTCCAAATCAGGGTATTTTAGAGTTCCTTGTAAAAGTGCACCTAGAGTGTAACACTGAATCAGTAGCAAAAAGCAAGCTGAAGCTCTCTTCTTTTGGTGGTTAAAGGTTTTAACAAGCGTTTTGATTTCCTTCCTCCAGCTTATTATTATGGAAAGAGGAAAAAAATCATTAAGCCACCAATTGGGGAAAATAATAACATGAAAAGTGGGCATGTCAAGCCCACCAGACGCAGAAAAAGGCGGAAATCCATCTTTGTGCAGAAGAAAAGAAGGTCATCAGCTGTTGATCTAAATGCTGCAGGCTCTGCAGAGGTATGCATTACACTGGGAAAAACCAGCAGGTGCCCCCAGTGCTTTCCCTTCTGTCCTCATCTCCTTTTCAAGGGACTTCTCAGCAAACCCCATCACTTCTATCCCTCATTTTGAAACCCTCCTTACCACCTTCCTCATCTAACATTAAATTAATTACACTGGGACACTTTAGGGACTTTCGCCCTTGACCATTCTAGAATTAGAAGATACTGTTTTTCTTTCCACCTTCATAAGGTTTGGTAGCTATTGCACTGTCAAATACTGTATCTGTTTTCTTTTGCTTCCTTATAGCCCTGTGGGCAGACAGATGGGCCTGTTTGGTGTTTGGTTCAGCATCTAAGATCTCAAAATATTCTAGTAAATAATAATAACTCTTGGGCATTATGGTTTCAAGGGCTTTTAATTTTTCATTAACCCTTTGTAGTATTTTTGGTTCACCACTGCTAACAGCAGAAGTGTGAGAGGCCTTAGAAATCAAGTAAATAGTTTGTGTCCCAAATATGTGGTATCTGAGGCCTCAGTCTTTTCAGGATGCGGTGTGATACAGGATCCTGAATTTTTCAGTGATCTGTGTCCATCTGGAACCTGTAGCCATTGTGGTTAAATACCTTCTGTGTGAACCCTTTTCCAGGTGATTTTCTTGTGATAGTAATGACAAAACACATGTTTTTGTTCTGTTTCCTTTCCTCAGCTGAGCACCATTTATTGTTGCTTCATGCAGTGAGAAAGCAAACTGATTTGGTTAAATTCCCTCTAATTCATATGGCGGGGAGCAGCTTAAGCCACTGTCACTTGATGGCTTACATCTTCATGGCTCAGTCCTCCTTTAGATGGTGTTCAGGCTTATTTCCTTAAATTATACTGCCTGAAAGTAATTTAAACTGAAATAAACACATTTTGAGCTGAAATCAACCATTAACCAAGCTTTTCAGCCTTTCAGCCAATATAACTGGTTTGGGCTGGAATTCAGCTAAAACCTATGCATATGCATTGGATGCATGCTCACACTTCATTCAAAACTGAGATATCAAAGCCATTTTGGCTACTTATGTATAAAGTTCAAGATACACAGTTTCCATCAGTTGATTTATATTTGCAAACTCTGTGTTACAGAAATCCCAAGAATTTAGTGTGGTTTCCTTTACCTGAAAATTTGTGCTGCTCTGTCAGTACTTAAATGTTGGGCTGAAAGAAGGAAATCTAAGAGAAGTCCTTTGTACTGAATTTTACAGAAATGCCAGCTGAGCAATAAGACCTACGCATTGGTACATCTAGATATTTTAAAAAGACACCAGCATTTCTTTCTGTTTAGTACCAGTGACACCCATGGCCATTTGAAGTAAGGTGAAATGTTGAAGTAAGGCAAAATTTTCAACTCCCCTGCTTATTGCAGGGAAGTTGGAATAAATGTACTTTAAGGCCCCATTCCAACTCAAATAATTCTATGATTCCATGATTCTTTGAAAGCCTGTTTAAGATTTTGCTTCGTTTCAAGCAACCTGTGTTTCACTCTGTGCTTTAAGTATTTTCCATTTCCCCTTCTCATGCACATCTGCAGTGCCGTAAGGTTTGAGATGCCAACACAGCAGAGGAATGTTTTGTGCCAAATGAGTTATTACCATTGACCTTTTGTTAGAAACAAAAAAAGAACTTGTTCACTAGCTATTTTTCAATTCTGTATTTTGTTATGAATCTAAATTGAAGGTTAATCGACTTGGCACTATAATGAAAATGAAATATTTGGTTAAAATAAGTGTTACTCTAGGCCACCATGGAACACATGGGTGCAACTGAGGGAAGCAACGGAGGGAACTGGGATTGTTCAGTCTGGAGGAGGCTCAGGGGAGACCATATTGCTCTCTACAGCTGCCTGAAACGAGGTTGTAGTAAGGAGGAGGTTGGCTTCTTCTCACAGGAACTGATAGGATAAGAAGGAATGGCCTTAAATTGCCACAGGGGAGGTTTGGTTGGATATTAGGAAAAATTTCTTGTCAGAAAAAGTGATGAGGTATTGGAACAGGCTGCCCAATAAGGTGGTTGAGTCACCATCCTTGGAGGTGTTCAAGAAATGTGGAGATGTGGCACTGAGGGACGTGGTTTAGTGTCCTGATCAGGATGGATTGGTGGCTGGATGAGATGACCTTAGAGTTCTTTCCAACCTTAGTGGTTCTGTGGTTCTATGACATGGGCCCTGCAGTTTAGCCTGGTGTCTCTTGATCTGCTGCTGTATCAATCTCTGAGCCCAGGTGCCCTTTTCCTGCTGGTCTTTGTGCAGGAGAGCGAAGAAGACGAGCCGGATGCAGTTGAGGATGAGACGGGAAGCGAGGAGACGAGCTCAGAGCTCCGTGATGATCAGACAGACACCTCCTCTGCTGAGGTCCCTTCTGCAAGGCCCCGGAGAGCAGTTACCTTGCGCAGCAGCACTGAGTCGGACAGACCTCCTCCTACGGAGAGGGCCCGGCGGAGCCGCCGGCCACAAGCCGTGTCTTGCAGTGAGGTGGAGAAGTCACCACAGCTCAAGGAAGTGAGTATGACCCCAGGCTACCGATATTTTCCCTGCGCCGTCCTTCAGTGCCTAACCTTTCTCATCTGAGGAGGGCATCCCTACAGTGCAGCTGCGTGGCTTCCCACACCATGTGGTTTTCTTTAAGATAACTTTTTTTTTTTGTAGGAAATTAAGCACGAAGAAGAAGAGAAGCTCATCCTGGACAGTAATCCCTTGGAGTGGACTGTGACTGATGTTGTGAGGTTTATTAAACTGACTGACTGTGCACCCCTTGCCAAAATATTTCAGGAGCAGGTAGAGATCTTTATGTAACTCTTCTTTTTATGCCTGTGGTGCTTATTCATAGTAAAAATAAATAATAAATAAAGCAACGCATGTTGCTAGCCTTGGACCCAGGGCTTCCACAAAGAGCTTGTAAGCAAATTTCAAATCCCTTGAGGCCAAGCTATGGCAAACAGCTGGACAAGGCATGAGTACCCTCAGAAATTCAAGTCAAAGCCTTGTCAGATACTCAGAGAGCAGAAACCCGCTCTTCACCCCCTAGTCAGCGTCCTTGTCAAAAGCACAACATTTACACCTTTCATACCAGTGGTTCTGTGGCAAGACCCACAGCACAATTCCAGTGTTGCAAAGGCATTCTGGTGTACCAACAGATAGTGGTTACTTGTTACACAGCTAGCCATCTCTCCCTAGCCCCCTTGAGTTTCACTTTGTTTTAAAATATTGGCCTGCAGAGTAGAAATTTCCCAACTGAACCCCAGATTGGCTGCATGAATTTTGATGCCAATACCTGGATGCTCCAAGTGTGTAGACACTTCCCATCTACATCCCTTGAAAGATCTGACAGGCAGGCCGTTTGGTGACCTAATCTTAGCAGATGCCAGACATCTCTGATTAAATAGATAAGTTTGGAGGAGTAGAAGCCAATGTTCTGCATCTGAAGTTAGTGAACATGTAAAATTTATATAGAACAGACATTCCTTGGCTAATAAGTAACAGCCTCTGCTAAAAGTGAAGGGCAGCTCTAGGAAATCATGGTTAGAAAGAAGCAAGTGTGGTTCATTAGTCTATAGCCCTTGGGTGTATGGCTAACTGCATATTTTATTATTTCTGATTCTTCACTGTGAATAGCTCTGTTCCAGATTACAATAGGTTTGATAGGAAGAAATTGAAGTGTGTGTAGAGCAAGGCTGAAACGCTCTCATAAAAAGATCCTGTAGTTGCTGCACTGCAGCATGCTACAACCATTTGTTAATCAGCCTGGAGTAACTCCAAGGTTTGAAAGCCAACCCTGTCCCTCCTGGGCCATAGAGTTTTATGGTAACCGTAATCAAACACAGATGACTGCAGATTTTCCTTGCTATTTGCTGTACCATTCAATTATACCATCAAGCTTTGGTGTAGGGAGGACCTGAGCAATGGTCAATCCTGATCAAAGCAGTGTTTAAGGGGTCCAAATCCTCCCTCTGTTTAGCACTACCTAGTCAGGGCTTTCCTGGGGAGTTCATGGTGCCTGTGAGTTACTATACTTTTTCTGCATTTCCAATCTGATCTTCCCTAAGAGTTAAAAAGCAGTTTTGTAGCCAAGTAATCTGCTTCTTAGTCTATTAAAGAATAAACAGAACTTGAGCACTTAATTAAAGAAGGATCAGAAAGCTAATAGAAATCCCTAATAAAATGTCTTCAGTCTGGGGTGCTAGTTTAGAGAGTTTGGTGCATGAGTGCACCTGAAGGAAGGACATGACCTCCAGAGGACCCTTCACTGTGAGATTCTGTGATGTTAGAGTGGGAAATCCAGGTCCATTCTTCTTGATTATTCAGCAGATTATGTTGAACAGGGCAGATCCTAGGTGGCTTGGGGGACTTGGCATGGGATAAGGCAGACATAAACCTGTGCTGAACAAAAGAGAGGAAGAAAAGGTCTTGTTTGGTGCTGTGAAGCTGACTGAAGTTTTTCTGTTCAGCACTGCAGCCTTGTTCTTGCTTCATTTCCTCAGCCACAGAATGGAGTTTGTCTGATCTCTGTAGTCCTCTGCAGAGTTTCTTTAAAAGGTGATCTGCTAGACTTTCGTTATATGATTGATGAGAGCCTGTGAGGTCACAGTAGATAACTTCTAAAGAAGCATAATGTATTCCAGAAAAAGGAGATGAGCTGCATTGAAGTGTGAGAATAGGGCAGAGAACAAAGTTGTCTTCAGTTTTGAGGGCAGATTTCCTTTCTTGTTTCTCAAAACATCTCTACCTTCAAAAGTCCACAAACAAAACCATTATCACTGTTTTTCTTCCTCAGGACATTGATGGCCAAGCCCTTCTGCTGCTGACGCTGCCCACGGTGCAAGAATGCATGGAGCTGAAGCTTGGGCCAGCCATCAAACTGTGCCACCAGATCGAGCGAGTAAAAGTCGCGTTCTATGCACAATATGCCAACTGACTGCACTTCTCTCTTTCTTTCTGTTCACCTTCTCATTCCCTCTATTTTTTAACATCACAACTTGTTCACGTTTTTTTTCCTCTTCCTCTTTTCTTAAAAAAAACAGAAAACAAAAAACAAAAATCATGGAATTGGAAGCGCTGAGAATTAATCTGTAGGGGGAAAAATAACACAACAAAAAATCCAGCAACAAATTGAACTAACTGTTGTAAAGCACAGCGCTGGTATCTCTCCTCGTGAGCTTTGCCAGCATGTTTTGCTGCAGTGCAAGGCCAGCATGGATCAGATGGATTGTCGTCCTTTAAAGCAAAGCTACCTATGGCAGATACGTTTCCACGGTGAATAGTTGGACATTTTCAGTAATGATGGTTTGTCTTCGTCAATTTCTGGACATGAGCAATCCTTTTAGTCAACTCTGACACACTTCTTTCATATTGAAATGGAAGTGAGAATTTGTAACATTACCTGGGCTTTACTGCAAATTTGATCTTAGTGATCATTAGGCTTTCTTTCACCTCCCCAGTCATACAAAAGGAAGAAGTGTTATACCAGTCATATGCTGTTTGCTATTGAGTGAGTTATAAAGCAGGACTCAACCCACTGTCTTTGAATGGTATCACACAAAGCTGCAGCCAGTTGACAGACCTTAGGCATAATAATGTTTTCTGAGCAATGGTGGCCACAGTGAGCTGAATGTCTCACTGATGGGATCTGTGCAGTACTGCATTCATGTGAAGGACCATACATGAAAACCTCCAAAGTCAAGCTTATCCAGTTATATTTGGGTCACTAAACATAGGCCAGACTTTGCAACTCAAGGGGTGAAAAAAATAGGGGGAGGGGAGTCCAGATTTAATGGCAAGACTGTTCAGCACATGCTGATTTAACTTGCACCTTTGTCAGTCTGGTTACTAGGTGGGAATAAAAACCATCAATATTTTCAGGCTGTGTACACCATGGTGCTTTAGTCCAACTGACACATCCAACCCAGTGCATCTTCTGTCAGTAATCTGTATAAAGCCTCAACTGTGTCCCAGTGGCAGACTGGCCAGTGAAACTGGGGGCTTGCTTCGTGCCAAGTAGGGTGAGCACCACGGGGAGTGAAGAAGCGGGACAGACATCTTGGGCTTGCCTCAATTGTGCATACAAGATCAGTATTTTCTACTTACTTTACAGGGATATATGGCCCTGTGAGTGCCACATGTTGACCTCAGCAGTGGTTGGTGGCATCACATTGGTGTAAAATTCTCTTGAAAGCAAGAACCAAACTGGTTCTTCAGACCAAGTCTGAATTTTGCTCTGACTTTAGGTACAGGTGAATTCTTCCCTCAAAAAGTGAATGGGGTAGTTTGGGCTGATTTCATCAGAAACCACTGACTTCAGAAGAATTTTTTTCTACAAACTGGAAACAGAACCCAGTTCCCTGTTCTCAGGGAACACAGCCTAGAAATATAGTACAATCACATCACAGTGTTGTGATGCCAAAGCCTACTCAACTAAGACCTCTTCAAAAATAAATGTCATTTCTAACTCTGAATCTGAAGAGATTTCTTAGGGCCAATAACCCCATCTCAAACAGTTAACATATGGTGACAGCAGACTTGGATCACATGGTCCTACAGGGCTCAGTGCGCTCAGGAGAACCTACTGACCAACATCAGGCTATAGCTGGTTTCCTCCTTCCTCAGTTCCTTCCTTCATCAGTTTCCTCCTTAAAATCTTTGGTTTAGAGGTGGAAAGCCTCAGAAATAGAGATTCTGAATTATGTCCAGATTTGGTCTGGGGCATGGATTAGGTAAGAAGTATAGCCATGCATTGTGAAGACATTCTAGTCCATCTTTAAGGGGGATTCCTGATTTGCCACTGGGGAGTGTGATGTGTGCAAGCTGGGCCAATTCCTGCCAGCTCATGAGACTTCACAGAATATTTTCTTCTACTGAAGATCTTGAGAATTGGGCTTCTGTTGTCTGTTGAATTGATTGCCCCTCAGAGAAGCTGGAGCCCTCTTAGTTTCTTAAACAAGTAGGAAGTGGGCTCACACTTTAATTGAACATTATATTCAGATTGTCACTCGAAGCTTGGGCAGCGATCAGAGAGAACTGCATACTCTTTCCTGCACTTCATTTCAATTCCTGAAAATTAACCAGGGTTTGCAGTAATTTATTTCAAAAGAGCAATCATCCTAGGGTAAAATGGCACCTTTGCTAAGTAGAAGCACTTTTGCAAGATAGTCACAAGGAAGACCTGGGGAATCCACACTCTTTGACTGACTAACCATCTCTGGATCAAGCCTTTCTGTATTCAGTCAGGTGATTTTAAATCTCCCATAGCTAATTCTAGATGCTCTTCAACATTCAATTAAACCATCTGTTACTAAGCATCGCAATGTTAACATTTATATGAAGGTAGTAGATCACAGAAGACCTGTGAAATAGAGATTGCTGTATTTATGTCTCTTCCCTCTTTTATTTCATTTTGTTCAGACCAATTTCCACATGACATTTTTAACTAAATTGTCTTGTAATATGGTGACTTAGATTTTTTTTTTTTTTTTTTTGAACACTGGAGGTGTTTTTGGTCCTTCATAGATTCTGGGCCTAGTTCAGAGTTGGTGCAACTTAATAGATATACTGGTGACAGTGATGAAGGCACATCTCATTCTGAATTCGATACACAGGGCTGAAATATATCACATTATCAGTTAAAGTGATGAATTCATGGTTAACCAAGGCCACTACCGAGGGCTGAGGAGCAACCCCGCAGTTGCTTTGGGCTTTTGGATGCTGAATTTCAGCACACTCACACTGACCACCTTTCTTCTACAAAAAGGGTGATCAGACAGCTGTTGTTGATCTCTATTCAGGCATAGGACTAAAGATGGACATTTCCGAAGCTTTGTGCTCTGGAACGCAATGAGTAGGAGGGTGTAGTACCTGCCCATCTCCATTTGGCTTCTTTTGAGCTAGATCAAGTTCAGAAGGGTACCTGCTTCCTTTCCATCAGCTTGTACAGAATCCAACCAGTCTGTAGTCCTACGCTGGTTTCTGAGGGTGGATTAAAGCAGTAACTTAGAGGAATGTCTTATGACTCCCAGCTGGTAGACCTGCTTGCTTCCTGCTGTCATGGATGCTCCTCTACCACCTCAAAGGAAGATGATCTCTTTGATTTCAGAGCTCTTCTTCCCTTTCCAGATTGAAAACACAGCTCCATCCACACCCCCTGTTCTTTCCTCAGTGCTAGAATGACTGCAGCTCTGAGAAGGGTTTCAAGGTCCCCAGCTCTACCATGTTAGCCATATGCAATAGATCTCAAGAGTTTGGTTTTGCAGGATGCAGAAAACGCAGAAATGCAGTGTTGACTTACAAAATCAGGACAAGTGCTTACACACCCTGTCCTTGATGAAGCATCTCGCAGATTTGTGTCCTAGAAGAAATAGCCTGATCCACATTTACAGACGTATTCAAATGTCTGAAGGGATGTACAGAGTTTCTCAGTAAAAGATTCATAATGCCCAGTAAGATTTTTCACCTTGGCTAAACATCTGATCTGCCTTAAACTGAAATGTTGCCATTCCTTGGCTTTAACTTGCAAGCTTTTGCAGCCCATAGATGTGGACTGAAGCAAACACCATCTCAGCTCTCCAAAGGCCAGCCAGACATCGAGTTGCCATAATCAATTGCTGATTGCCTGTGCCCTGATCATGTTGGGGCACAAAATTGATTTTGATGGAGCTGCAGTGTAACTGCAGTGCTTTTTAGAAGCTCAGTACCGTCAAGGTATTTCAGATGATTTTTGGTTTTCTGCTGCACAGTGTCTGGAAGAATAATGCAGCTCATACTGTTCCTCCTATTTCAAAATTCAAGTGCCAAAAGGGAAGAACGTGCTGCAACTGAACACCATTAAAACCAGCTTTATTACTTGTGGATAATTATGGTCTCAAGGGCTCCATTTTGGTGCTAGAATATGCCATGCTGTATTTTCCATTGCTTGGAATTACAAAGTTGATTCCTTTCTTCAGGAAATATTTTCTGTAATCAAAAACATCTTAAATATTGGGATTGTATGATTGTGTTTATTTCTTGTTCTTTAATTCAGATACACTCAACAAATGAATTCCCCTCCCTGCAGTCGTGTGAGTTTTTGAGAAATTTTGTAAGGTATATATGTATATGTATATTTAAAAACTCTTTACAAATTGCAGTGCATGCCTATTTTTTCCCTTGAAAATATTTTCTCATATCAGCTGGCCTATGATTAAGGGAATTTGTTACTCAGGATTCAATCCAGAAGTGACCGAGGTTAGAAGTGTCCTCACACGTGTGGGCTTTGGGACAGGGTCTCCATCAAATTCTTTCACTTAGAAGTTAGAAAGTGTGCAGTTAATTAATACAAAATTTAAAATCTACCCTCCTCCAGCAGGCAGATATCCTGCTGAAATCTGCCAGACTTAATGAGAAGAGGGCTCATGTCTTTAGGTACTCATGAACTCCAAATGAAAGGAGCAGAAACATTTAATGTTCTCATTTATTATTTGGTACGATACTCCAGCAACAAGTGCAAATTATCTGATGTCTGCATTTAGAATATGAGTCAGTCATCAAAGAATGAGAGTTTTACAGCCCAGTAGTCCTTTAAATGTCATCTGTCCTGGAGGAGAAGAATAATTTTACAATGATTTGGTGCCATGCACTGGAATTCTCTTGCAGAAGACAGATGAACTGCACAAAAACATATTGGGTCATCATTTTAAGTACGCCCTTTTAATTGCTTTAGTCTTTCATGGGAAAAAGGTTTTCATGTTGCTGGTTTAAAACTCCCACTTTTGTAATGGCTCATGGCACAGCATACTAGCAGAATGCATTTGCGTCTGTTGTCACGTTATGTGTGAGTGTGGAGGTGTTTGTGGACAAGCAGATACTTCAGATAGGACAAGGAGATCTCCCTTCCTTGTACCTTGTTTTAATAGTGTCCTCTGTGGAACATGGAGGGCACGTGCTCCCCAGAGCACATCATGGAGGGAAATGTTTCCAGCAATGCTGTTGTTGCATGGCCATGTTGCCCAAGTAGCCTAATGCAGCAAGATAATTGCAGCCTACCAACAGATATTCCTGACCTTGATATCTACCTAAGGTAGATGTAGGAGTAGGCAGGGAGGGTTTTCAGGGAAGAAGAGAGGGTTGGAGTTCTGGGTTTGAGGGTCTTCTCATGTGAGGAAAGGGCAGCTGTGGTCTATCAGCATAAATTCCTCAAGACATCTCTGTCTTTCTCATAGTAAATAAAGATGCTCTGAGCCCTTGCAGGGGCCAGGTGTGAGGGAGGAAAAAAGCAGGCAGTATATTCACAGCTAGAAAGCTGGAAGTTTTCTTTCTTGTTTTGCTTATGGAGATGTAGGGATTTGGCTCTGAAGGGTGGATTGGAGAGCAGTAGGGAAGATCCGTCTTTATTCCTTGTACTCAGCTCCTGTACATCTCCTGGTTTCTGGAGGCAGCTTTCAGACTTCCAAGGGAAATGTCAGGGACTGAAACTTGAGCTCTCTCCCATAGAAATAGGTGATACTGCGTTAAGCTCAGGTGGTGGATCTACAAAATGCTGTTGCATTTATGATGTGAGAAGACAAAAATCAGCATTCCCAAGTCACCAGTCTGCTTGTTGCTGCTCCAGCCTCACTGAAGTTTATGACCATTATATCTGCTTATAAATGCATACAGGGATATAATGTACAGGCAGGCATTCACTGTGATGTAGTCCAAAAGTGGTGAAAGATCTCAAATGCAGGCTTTGGAAGGTTGAGTTGAGTCTTCTCTTGTGCCAGGGTGAGGCAAGGCAAACACTCAGACCCATATGACAGTTAGGGAACAGCAGAAATGAGCTCAACAACCAGCAGACACAGTCCATTCGTGGTGATGCACATTGGAAATCTTTGAATTGTTTTGCATTCCAGTTTGTATGGAAGATTTGATTCAAACAGTGTATATATAATCCCTTTGGTGTGTTACAAATATATATGTGTGTGTGTATATATATGTATATATGTGTGTGTGTGTGTATATATATGTATGTGTATATATATATATACATATAAACCAATCAATGCTGGTGTTTTTACTTTTTAAAGTTCATGGGGCAAAGGGCATGTTGTTAGTTTGCTGTAAGATTCTATTCTGTATATATGTTTTCATGTAAATAAGTGAAAATCTATATTCAGAGTTATATTTTAATTTTTATTCAAAATGAAATAAATCCCCTTTTTACTTGAGCAATTGTAAGCTACGTTGTTAATAAAGTAACAATAAATCACATTTCTCTCAAGGTTGGTATTTTATTTCATTGGACAGTAAGGGTTGTGTCTTGGTGTATTTGATGTATTTGTTCCACATGAGGAGTTAAGGTGAGAAAACAGTCTCTTGGCTTTGCTCTCAGTGGCTTTGTTTTGAGTGACCCCATGCACTTTCCGGGAAGGGACAGTCAGGACTTGTCCTTTGCATAGTTGGACACTTAAAGGCACGTCTGGGGGTTCCCTTTGTAGTCTCTAGAGAGAAGCACAGCAGCACGACTTCTGCCGGCCAAATTGAGTTGCCTGAAGGAGATGCCTTTTGTCACTGCCTTTGGATGGGCTCTTCATTTAGGTGAACACCAAAGAGGATGAACGTAAGCCATAAGCCAGTTTCTGCAGATGATCATAACCAGGTGTTGGCTGTGGTCCCTCAGAATGCCATGCTCTTGAAACAATATGGTATCCAGGCAGCACACTTCCCATCCAAGCAGAGGTGTGCCTCAACATACATGAGCTCTTCACTCCTCAACCTTGACAAGTGTGTCCAATGTACTTTGACTTAATTCCTGCCCTTGATAAACCCATTCACCTCCAGGAAGGCCCGGTGCAGCTTTGCTGGTTCATCTTTTCACAGCTGCCACACTGTAGCATTTGTTTGTGGAAGCTAGGCTTACATACCTGCAAATTCTCCCCAGTAGCAGGAGAACATGAAACAAGAAAAATGGTGGGTTGGTAAGGTAAAACTAGGGCAGCTTTTAAAGATGCTTTGGGAGAGCAACAGGGGGAAGGGTGGAAGAAGGGAGTAAAGGTAATACTATGAGCAACAGTCAAGGGAGTATGGAGTAAGAGAGGTGCTGATGGTGGCAGGACAAAACTTACAGGCAGGTCACAGCCCACAATGCAGAAATGCAGTAATCACAACTTCTTAAGCCGCACAGCAGTTCTTGAACATGGAAGCAGCCATCCTGTAGTGCTGGAAGAAAGCTATTTGATGGTCAAAAAGAACCATAGCATCACAGAATCATGAGGGTTGCAGGATACTACTGATGTCATCTAGTCCAACTGTCAACCCATCCCTACCATGCTCATGAATCATGTCTCTCAGTGCCACACCTGCACAGTTCTTGAACACTTCCAGGGACGGTGACTCCACCACCTCCATGCCTGTTCCAATGCCTGATCACTCTTTCTGAGAAGAAGTCTTTCCTAATATCCAACTTGAAGTGGGCATGCTTTGCAATATAAAACATTGTATTTCTTACATGTCTACATCTTACACTGTTGTATGCCTGGGAGGAAGTAAGCACAGGGCCTACAAAATTAGCTAACGAGGATTTAGATGGCCCTCATTTTGATGTTGCTCAGTCAATCCCATTCAGTTGTCTCTCATGGATGCAGCAAGAGGAAAGAAACAAAACATCTCTGTGCATGGGCCACTATTTCTCTTAGCTCAGCAGAACTGACCATTCTTTTTCAGGCAAAAAGAACAACCATGTACAAGGTTTGGGGTGATTTAGAAAGCAGTGAAACCACAGGAAATTTCTTTACGATGTCACCAAATCTTGAAATGAAAATCCTCCTGTGCGACTCATGATGATGCAGCAGTCACAGTCACTTCTTAGAGAAGTACACCACCAGAGATAATCAGAGAAGTGACCTGCCCAAAGAGTCTTAAAAATGAAGTACTGGGCAGTGAATAGTGACGTGTTTTGACTCACGACCTGCTAGATCACAGACGTCCTCACTGAAAGGTGATGTAGAGAATGAGAAGGATTTATACAAGGAAATAATTCTGAGCCAAATCAGACAGTGACATAAAACTAAAAGAGCAGAAGGTTGGATGTTTTATAATATTCTTCAGAATCCAGAGGTGAAAATAAATCCATATATCTTCCTGCAGCTTATTATACAGTCATTTAAAAGTAATGCAAAGGTCAGACCTCAGTTCTTACATTTCTGCCCCATCTTAGGGAAGACATGCTCAGAGCTCTGCAAAGAGCTAAGTTTTGAAAAATAGAAGGCAAAGTGATTTTAGTAAAACACTGGCAATATATTCCAACTGAGTTCCTGAAATTAATTTCCAACACATGAAACACAGTTGTCATATGTGGTTCCCTCAGGAAAAATATCTACCAGCCTTGCGTCTGACCTCATAGGCCAAGATGTTCAAGGCTGGCCTCCATTAGTGTTGCAGTTTTTCATGCACAATTAATTTGGGAAAGATACTTCCCCTGATTTGTGGACAAGATCAAGTATTCAAGTAAGCAGCAGTGTGAACACCAATGCATAGTTACCTACCCCATGAAAAACACACAGAAAATCAGTTAAGTTGGATTTCCAGGTCTCTGAGGAAATACCATATTTCTTTCCATATATATACAGAATACAGAATTAATACAAAAATGTAGGTAATTCTGCTTAATTCCCAGAATTTTTAGACAGGTTTTCAAGACTAATAATAATAATTAATAATATCCATATTGTTGCTGCTACTGCTAATGTTGTTAGTATTGTTATTGCTTTTTTAATTTCAAGATTCATGCCTTTCAGTGAAATTTAATGACGATTCTCCCTCCCTCTGCAGCTACAATATTTACCTAAGCACGATACACCTCTTGCTACAGTCTGTACTCAATTATCATAAGTTGATTTTATAACTGCATCTCAGCTGAAGATGTAATTACACTGTCTTCTCTAATAAGTCATAAACTCTTAGAGAAAATAGTGCTGCAAGACACCTTGAGGTGTCAGCTTGACTGTTTCCCCTTCACAAGGCAGGAGCAATTAGAGAAATCTTACTTGTATCTGGCATTTGTTTAACTTGACCTCTGGATGGGTGTCAAAATAAGACCTCCAGCAACAAGCGAATCTCCAGCACTTCTACAGCATAAAAAAGAAGTGATGGCATTTAGATGGTGAAGTGTAATATTCGCAGGCACAGCTACCACGTTGACGTTGGCGCTGAACGGCCATCTCGTTTTGAAAAGCTTAATAAGACTGGAGATCAATGTAGCAATTAATAAATGTAACAGTGGAAGATTCACAGTGAAGAGTGATTAAATTTCAAGCAAACAGCTATGATAATAATTTTCTTCACGAGTCCTTAGTTGGGGACATAGAGCATATGATCTGGCGGTTACAACAGATGATGTTACTGCAGGCAGCTTCCCTATGGCATCTAGTGATAGCATCATTGTGCTCGTCTCTGGATAAGTATCTTTTGGAATAAAGCTTCGTAATGCAAAACTCCCAGTTTGCACCTAGGCAATGGCTCTCAATGGCTCTCTTCTCAGTCATGCTGCATGAAGCAGAAGGGCAGATCTGAAGTTGCAAGGGCAGCTGCAAAGGTTTGTCCAGGGTTTGTCCAGCCATGTCTGAAGGTAGTTCAAGCAAGAGCTTCTAGCAACAAAAAACCATGAAGGGTCTTGATCAGCTGTTCATCTCAAATGTTTCTGAATCAACTGGACACTCTGCCATGCCACGTCAGGGCAATATCTATGATGGATGTGGGATTGGCAATCCTTGAGCACGTATTTGTTCCAGAAATGATAATTCACTCTGTGGGCTAAAGAGAGAGCTGGGAAGGGACCTTAGTTCCTGCAAGAGCTGCCAGCACTTTGTAAGCCTGCTCTGGATGGAAATGCCAAAGTAATGGACATTTATTCTGAGGAGAAAGAGAAGTAGAGAAGAAGAAAGCACTCAGGTCCGAATTCAACAGCAGGAACCTTGTTTCCACTCACCACAAAACATAATACATATATTTCTTCTAATTTTATTCCTATGAGGTAGTGAAGCTTTCTCACTGTGTATGAATGTGTAGGCATTACTTAAATTAATTTTCCCAAATGCCATTTTTTTCGCTCCATAAATGTACAAGTGGCTCTTGCTCCCACACTCCAAAGCAATACACCTGACAGCTTTATTTTACTGGGGTATTGTTGAGGTCCTGCTGGTTTAGGTACAGATTGCTCTCTTATACAACTGTACTTCCCCACACACAAGGGTGAAGGACCTCATTCTGGTCCTTCTGCTGACAACACATCAGAGAGTCCGTAGGATCTTTTCATGTGTATCAGCAGGTTGAATAGAATGTACAACCTTTCTCAGGCAAGTGTGCACAGAGAGAGAGTGCTAGGGAGATATTCTCTCCAAGGCAATTTGTATTATCTCCACCAACAGATGAGTACTTTTTCAGGAGGTGAAAGTGTTACTACCACCCTTGCAGACTCATCATTGAGATGTTGAGAGCCTGCAGAAGTCAGAAGCTGTGTTTCCACTGCTGCAGGGTGAAATCACACATATTGCTGGGGAAGAGTGTGTTGGATGAGATCACCTCAAAATGCAATGCTCATCTCAGGTTGCATGTAAAAGTTATGTTTCAGTTAATAGTTGGAATGACCATCGAATATCTGAACTGTGTCACTGAGGGACGTGGTTAGCGGGCACAGTGGTGATGGGTTGATGGCTTGACTAGATGATCTTGGAGTTCTTTTCCAATCTTAACAATTCTGTGATTCTATGTTAATCTTTAAGGTGCTCAAGGCCAAGGTTGGATGGGGGCCCTGAGCAGCCTGAGCTGGTGGGTGGCAAACCTGCCCATGAGCAGAAGTTGGAGCTCTAGGACCTTTAAGGACCTAAGTCATTCCATGATTCTATGAATTTAGGAGCTTGGAGCCAGCCAAGCTGTCTGGTGCCCCCTGGGATAAGCAATTGGAGGGGAAGAAGAGGCATGGAAAGTGGAGAAGAATCTGGAAATTTAACCACAATCTGCTGAATGCTGCATCCAATGTTAGGGGATACAATTTTCTGTTGTGATTCCTCTGAAACCCAATACAGCATGTTTCAAAGCTTTATGTCTCTTCTGGGAATGGAGCTGCTATTGCACAGGCATCTCAGAATTGTTCTGGGGGAGCTTTTTTTTTTTTTTTCCTTTTTTCTTCTTCTTTTCTTCAAGTCCTTTAATAAGAAACAGCTTTCTGTTTC